TTTATTTATTTATTTGAGAGAGAGAATGAGAGAGAGAGAGAGAGCATGAGAGGGGGGAGGGTCAGAGGGCGAAGCAGACTCCCCGCCGAGCAGGGATCCCGATGCGGGGCTCGATCCCGGGACTCCAGGATCATGACCTGAGCCGAAGGCAGTCGCTTAACCAACTGAGCCCCCCAGGCGCCCATCCTCTGGCCTTTTGTACGAGAAGGTCGCCTGGCCCTGCCCTAGATGCCTGAGGTGCGCTCTCATGCCCTTGATGCGGCTTCGTGGTTGCGCAGAGGCCCTTTGTGTCGGGAACTTGTTGGGGGCAGACCAGTCTGTCGGTGTGGCTGTGGACGGAGGAGGGACAGGAGGGCCCCGAGCGTTGGCGTTAGGGAAGCAGACACCGTGAGGGAGGCACTGTCCCAGCAGGAGGGGCCGTGCAGTGTGACGTGCCGTGGGGAGCCCGGGTGGCACGGGGCAGAGGACAAGAGTGGCCGTGGCCGGCAAGAAAGTGATGCTGGGCTGTTGTCTGCTCTGGGTTTTTTAAAGATATTAAATATATGAATCTTCAGACTGGTTTCCCATGAGCATTTTGGTGATTTGGGGAAGGGCTTGGCTTGGTGAGGATCGAGTCCTTTCTACCTCTCCTTGGTGCTTGAGAGGGAGGAGTGGGCGGCATCTGAGGGGATTCTGCTTTGTTGCCAGAATCTTCCCCTCCCGGCTTCAGGTCTCGGAAGGACCACCCTCAGAGGCTACCGGCGCACAGTGGAGGGCAGCTCCCCCCCAGAGATGGCCCTGGAGGGAAAGCAGGCTGAGTGGGAACCTCGCCAGTTGGCATTTGGGGGCCCAGACATGTGTCTCTCGGGGCTGCGGTCAGGCTTTGTTGAGTGGCGGCCGTTTCTGTCCTGTCCGATGGCCCTCGATGGCCCATGTGCAGCCGGCGCTTCCGCGGAGAGCGGACTGAGGAACCCGTGTGCCTGTCCCCTCCTGTCCTCAGGGACGGGGGCCACCTGCTTGGGCTTGCGTGCCAAGCAGCCCTGTCCTCTGGCCGAGGATGCCAGGCCCCTGTGCCTGCCTGCCACGTGTGCCCCGTGTCTGCCACCTGGACCACTCGCCTCTCAGCCTCCTGTCCCCCGGCCGCATGGAACTCTCGGTTCAGTGTCTTTGGCCTGAGGTCTGGTCTGTCCTGCTTTTGAACTGCTGAGGCGTTTGATGGGCTGAGAGCGGACTGTTCCCGCAGGGTGAGGCTTTCCCTGCATGGCAGGCGTCGCATGGAGTCTTGTTTCCAGGAAGACGCTTGGGGAGCGCGCCTCGGGGCAGGGACCGCTTGCTCACCCGCCGCGAGCACCCGGCCCACAGCGGCTTCTACGTGTGATCACTCGGTGCCCACAGCGCAGGCACGAAGGGTTCTGCAAAACCATCATTAAAATCTCTTTCCTGATTCTTTGCTTTCTAGGTGATTGAAAACTTGGCCTCAAAACAAAAAACTCACTAGTTATGGTAAGCAGTTTTCCTGTCTGTTTCGTACTTGTTTGTAGAGGCACCGCGGGGACACAGACAAGGAGTTTGGGGCGTCGGGCTTAGAGGCGGTGCTGCGGGGAGCAGGCGCGGGAGGCTCCCCCGCGAGGGTAGCGGACTCCTCTGCCCCCCAGGCCAAGCGCCGGAGCTGTGCTTAGACCCCTCTTCCTTGGGTCTGGCTCTGGGACAGGGCGTCCCTTACTTGAGCTGGGGCCACCCTGCCCCCTGCTCCCTCCTCCTCCCCCCCCTTCTGGTGAGAAAGTGAGGGAAAGCCGAAGGCTCCAGGGCCAGGATGGAACCGAAGGAACGAGAAGTTCCTTTCCTCCACCCAGACCTACCCGACTGGCCTCGGCCAGGAGCCCCTGGCAGCCCCCTTCCCACACACGGCCCCGGGTCCCCGCGCTGGGGGAACACGGGGTTCGCGGCGTCGGGCCAGCGGCGTGCAGGGCGTGCAGACCGAGAGCGCCCGCCGACCTCCGACAGAGAGGACGCGGCGTTCCTGGAACGCGGTGTGGGTGCCTTAGGACAGATGCCGACTTTGACAGTGTCCAGTGACTACTGGCATTTGACTCAGTGGCCCCGGGAGCTAGCGCTTCTTGTCTGTGGCCCGCACTTGCTGAGGTAGGCAGGCCGGGGTGCCCTGTCGCTCTTGAAGGCGCCCGTGTCCGCTGTGGGACTCGTAGGCAGCAGGGGGGATTTGAAGTGGATTTCCCCGAATCGTCTTCGGCAGATTAACGTGCAGCCAACTAACCTGCTTTCTCGGTGTCTTAAGGAAAAGACCTAAGCCTAAGTAGGGCATTAGACTCCGATTCTCTAGCGAAAGGGAGTTGCAGGCCTGAGCCGATGGGCAGCGGCGCGCGCCCAGCAGGTGGCTCCCTCCGCACGTCCGGCCCCGAGCAGCCCCCTGCCCTCCCTGCCCTTCTGGAAGGCAGAGCGACGGCCGTAGGGACGAGGAGCTTGCCCCCCAAGGCCTGGCGGAACTGTGCCAGGAAGCCCACGCTTGAGCTGTCGGTGTTAGGGACGGCCAGGCCCCCACGCCCCGGCCTCGGGAGGTACTAACGGCTGCCGCTTGCTGCCTCTTGTCTTTCAGATTCAGCGTGTTCGACAGAAGCCATCCCCAACCCAGCTTAAATTATCAATCTAGAAAATAACTTTGTTCAAATCCGCGTGGTGCTTCTTTAGTAAATCCTGTACAGATTTTACCATGGAGAACTTTTTTTTAGTTTTTACCTTTTCTTAATTACCCTTATTCCAAATGGACGAACACTTTCTACAACTGCTGACCATTGTAAAACACCGTGTACATAAATCCCACGGACAGTGACGCCCTGGACTGGAACATCTCAAATGCTGCTTAATCAGACTCAGGTGGACCGCTCGCATTCCATGGAAAGCTCCTCCAAGTTAGACATCCGGTGCCAGACCAGCCGGGAAACCATGGAATTATTAAAAGTACAAACTGACAGTGTGTATATTTAATTTAAAGACTTATTTAAAGATTCACGAGCTCTCAACTAGACTTGAGAGCAGTCTGTTTTCTGTAATGTCTGATACTAGAAACTAATTTGCTTCATATTTTAGTTGTATTCAAGATTTGAAAATGTATTTTATAGACAAGTTCTGTTTTTGAACTTTGTGGAACTATTCCAATCAATTTACCAGTTATGATGAGTATTTACATTATGAATGTATAATCCAAACATTATTTGTAAAGCCTACAGTATGTTTTTATTACTTAACACTTTTTTATACAGTGTCTCTTGTCTTGACTATGATATTGGAGTCTGAGTTGTCAGCTTGGTCCCTTAAAGTTTCTAGTTACAGACAAAATCATACTGTGATTTTATTTTTAATATGGATATGCTATCAAACTGTGATACACTTATAATTCACTGGTCCTGCATCAGGAGATGGAGTGGGGAAAACTGTATTTAATACAGTTTGTATCTGAATAATCTGTATGGTTTATACAGTTTGTGTTGTTCAGAGATGTCTAAAGTTTGATCTTTGTTTTTTTAAAGATTAAAAAAGCACTTGCCCCACTGTAAATATACAGCATGTAAAATTTATATAGTATATAAATGGCAGCAAATTAAACATTTTGTGTCTTACATTTTTACTGCTGTTTCCCCCCTTTGCTTACCAGACCTTTCTCACCACCTTCTTCCTGCTGCCTTCACAGTCTTAGACTCCTCTGAAGCCCAAGCCCGGGATGAGGAAGGGACAGGGAGCAAGTTCCTGGACCCGACGATCTATTTTAAAGAACCAGGTCCTAGGTAGTATTCTTTGAACAATGCATTTTTTATTTTGTGAACACGGTATTTGCAATTTGATGGCCATACACCTTCCAATTTTGCTATTCATTTTACAACAAAGTATCGATAGATAATAAGGTATTTCTTCATGCAACTTGTGGGAGTATATACATTGAATAACAAACACTCCAGAAATCTCTCTGTACATTATTTACATATTAACTATATTTACTGTAAATAGAAATGTCTAAGAAAAAATAAGAAAATGTGAAATCACAACGTGTGGTTTCGGGTCTACAACAGACCTAACTTCTCAGCAAAGCACATCTATGTAGATAATATGCATTTTAACTTTTAAAAATATGCATTGCTTTATATGAAGCACTAAATGCTGCTTCATCTATAAATAGCTCCTATTTTGATTCGGTTTGGTACCACTTTAAACTGTTGAAAGTTGCTCCGTAATCCTGAAGACACTGTTGCTTGCCTGGGTCCAGGGTCATCCAATTCAACCTCAAGTGTTAACCGAGGCTGGGGGGGCCGCGGCCGTCCGCCCGGCGCACCCCCTCCACCGCCTCCTGCCCTTGGCCTCTGGAGGAGAGCTTGTCTTTGGCCAGAGTTGGGACTAAATTCCAGCACTGCGCACGGACGTGGGGGGGGGGGGGGGG